TCTTTCTTTCTTTCTTTCTTTCTTTCTTTCTTTCTTTCTTTCTTTCTTTTCTTTCTTTCTCTCTCTCTCTCTCTCTCTCTCTCTCTTTCTTTCCTCCCTTCTTTCTTTCTCTCTCCCTCTCCCTCCTTCTCCCCCCTCTCTCCCCTTCCTTCTGCCCCCTCTCCCCCTCCTTCTCCTTTCTCTAAGTGGGGGCCAATTTTATTTCCATATCGATGATGTTTTCTAAGGAAGGAGCCACCACCAAGAAGGTCCTTCTTCTTGGTTCCACTAGATTAGATTACTCTCCTTGAGAGAAGAGAAAAACTGAAAAAGAAAGAAAGAAAAGAAAATGAAATAGTAGAGAAGATCCAAGTCTTCCAGATACTGTGGACAATAATCTGAAGCCTATTCATTTACCATGGCTTGGGGTGGCGGAGCATGGAGGTTACAATCCAACAGATTGGAGGGCAGCAGATTGGACAAGTTTAGTGCAGACGCCAAGCTAGATTTCGAACACCTTGTCCCTTTGTCTGAGTGCCAGTTTGGTATCGTGGTTAAGACTAGCCACCATGAGGCTGCGAGTTCCAATTCTGTCTTACTTCTCTTGGTACAATCACAGGATGATTGTGAGAGTGAGAGAGGAAGCATATGCGTCACTTTGCTTGCACATCTTAGAAAAAAGAGAGGAAGCAATTGCAAACGAGTAAAACGGAGCATGAACTTTGCAAGAGCACATACACTAATCCACACACAGCCAACCAAACATTTCTTTGGGTGACTGGCAAGAAAACCATCCCATACATTACACCAGTGGTGGTATTCAGCTGGTTCGCACTGGATTGGGTGAACCGGTAGCAAGGATTTGTCCTGGGTCGCCAAACCGAGAGTAAATTCTGGCTGGCGATGCCCTCAACCCAGTCACCCAGTCACCGCTGGCTCGCTCACCCCGCCCACCTGACACTCGCCCCTTAAGGTATTCCTTCATTTTTTTCCCTCCCGACAATCAGCTGTTCATATGATCAGCTGTGCCGGGATTCCCCTGGCTGAGGCGCAGGAAGGCAAAAAATGGAGTGAGGAGCTCAGCCCCCCCCCTCCATTTTTTGCCTTCCTGAGCCCCAGAGGAGCCTTAGGGGAGCCAAAACACCCCACCAGAGGCTCTTCTGAGGCCAGGAAGGTCCCAAATAGAGCTAGAGGGGGTGCTGCGCGCCCCCTCCAGGCTCCATTTTTTTTTCTTCCTGAGTCTTAGAGGAGCCTTCTGGGAGCAAAAATGCCCCTCCCCCGAGGGTCCTCTGAGGCCCAGACTGCCCCCAAAAATGGATGGGGGTGGCTGCAAAAAAAAAAAACCCCAAAACCCACGCCCATCCAGTCACATGGACATGCCCGCTTAACCATGCCCACAGAACCGGTAGTAAAAAAATTTGAATCCCACCACTGCATTACACCAGTATTTCTCAGTGAAATTAAGATGGGGAGTTCTGGGGTCCAGTCATCATTGAACAGAACAACAGACTTGGAAGGGGCCTTGGAGGTCTTCTAGTCCAACCCCCTGCTTAGGCAGGAAACCCTATAATATTTCAGGCAAATTGTTATCCAGTCTCTTCTTAAAAACTTCCAGTGTTGGAGCATTTATAACTTCTGTAGACAAGTCGTTCCACTGGTTAACTGTTCTGATTCTCGGGAAATTTCTCCTTAGTTCTGGGTTGCTTCCCTCCTTGATTAGTTTCCATCTATCACTTCTTGTCCTGCCTTCAGGGGCTTTGGAGAAGAGGTTGACTCCGTCTTCTTTGTGGCAGCCCCTCAAATACTGGAAACACTGCTATCATGTCACCCCTAGTCCTTCTTTTCATTGAACTACACATACCCAATTCCTGCAACCGTTCTTCCTATGTTTTAGCTTGATAATAGCTTAAGGATATAACGTGAAGAAGAACATAAAATAAGGGAATCCTTCAAGTCCCCTTTAAATCCCAGAGAAAGCAACAGGAAAAGTGATAGCTTCTATGGGAAAGGAATCCCATTCCTAAGAAAAGGTCTCAAACAATGTTTTAAACACCAAGTCAGCCAAGAATTAATGCAGCTATGTAGAAGCGAGCCACTCAAAGTTAGAAGTGATTGAATTATTCGTTGTGCTGCCTTACCTTCAGGTGCTTTGGAGAATAGGTTGAGGGAATAGGTTTCCCCTCCTGTGGGAATCCTCCCTCCTAGAGAATGATACCTTTTGGCGTATATTAAAACGCCATTTTATATTTCCCCAAAGGAGAAATGAAGACAAATCTTAACAAAGACGAAAAACAGCCCCAGAGCCTCAAGTCTTTAGGAATGCAGATTTTATGTCCATTCAGAAAGACTGGGCCAATCTATTCATAAACAAACACCTTCAGACACAGCTCCAGCAGATTAAGAATTTACATTCCCCGCCCGGCCCAATTCTAAGGACAGGGCACGACCTTTAGGAATTAATAGGATTAACCCATCACTATTGGAATAGCAAAAGACACAAGGCTCACTATATTGCACAACCCCACTGGAGCATCTCAATCAGCAAACCCCAGAACCCTATAAAAATCCATCCACTCACTCAGTGATTTGGTCAGCCACCCCAAAAACATGTTGCTGCCACTAAAGTTTCTGGAAACCCAATAAACAGAGACCTCCTTTTTCGTGAGGTCTGCATTTTATTTCCAGCGTCTTTCTACCGGCTTGGAACCAGACCAGATTTTTCTTCCAACACTCTGGTCCGTGGAAAAAAATCTCTCTCCACAGAACTGGTCCCAGGTGCCCCAAAGATTGGGAGCCGCTGCCTTAGACGATTGTGATTGATGGGTGAAGAACTCACCTTTTCTAATTAATCCCTTGCAGGATTGCCCACCTCCCACCGGGAGCGCTGTTTCTGCAGAAGATCAGGAATGCTGTTCGTGAACATGGATCGTGTGACAAAAGTCGAATACCACAAGTCAACCAGCAGCTGTGGACAAGAAGAACTGCTGTGAGTAGCTGAGCCGAATCCTGCTGCCTTCTCCTGTTCAGTCTATTGAATTGCTGTCTAGGTAGTCCTCAACTTATGACCACGAGCAAGCCCCACATTTCCATTGCAAAGCGAGATGGTTCTTACCTCTCCCCTTTTATAAGCATTTTTGCCACAGTTGTTTAAGTGAATCCCCTGCAATTGTTCAAGTTAGTAACACCGTTGTAAAGCGAATCCGGCTTCCCCAAGGATTTTGCTTGTCAGAAGGTCGCAACAGGGGATCATGTGACCCTGGGACACTGCAACTGTCATAAGTACATGCCAGTTGCCAAATTCAGGGATTTTGATCATGCGACCATGGGGATTTTTTTTTTTTTTTGATGAAACAAAGGGGAAAAATTAATTTACAGTCTAGGGGTTTCAGGATTAGAAAGTGTGTAGACTATGGAAAGGAGGAAACTATGTTGTAACCTTTGAGAGAGAGAGACTAAATTATAAATAAATGTAACTGCTGAGAAAAGGTTGGAAATCACCTTATAACCTTCCCTTTTCCTTTCCTTTTCCTTTTGCCTTTCCTTTCTTTCATTGCATTTTATTCCAGTTACTTATTTCTTTTCTTTCTTTTTTCCTTTAAAAAAAAAGTATTTCTTTTTATCCTTTTAAAAATTCCGTATGTGTGCGTGCCTATGTATCTTGAAAAAGCAGCAAAGCTGTGGGACTTGAACCTCGTCGATTTTTCCCTAGTCCATATCCCCATGTTAAAG